AAGCTCAAACGTGCTGCGTAACATGAGAATGAACCTCATTGGTTCTTGCTGAAGCTCAAACGTGCTGCGTAACACGAGAATGAACCTCATTGGTTCTTGCTGAAGCTCAAACGTGCTGCGTAACATGAGAATGAACCTCATTGGTTCTTGCTGAAGCTCAAATGTGCTGCGTAACACGAGAATGAACCTCATTGGTTCTTGCTGAAGCTCAAACGTGCTGCGTAACATGAGAATGAACCTCATTGGTTCTTGCTGAAGCTTTAACGTGCTGCGTAACACGAGAATGAACCTCATTGGTTCTTGCTGAAGCTCAAACGTGCTGCGTAACATGAGAATGAACCTCATTGGTTCTTGCTGAAGCTCAAATGTGCTGCGTAACACGAGAATGAACCTCATTTGTTCTTGCTGAAGCTCAAACGAGCTGCGTAACACCAGAATGAACCTCATTGGTTCTTGCTGAAGCTCAAACGTGCTGCGTAACACGAGAATGAACCTCATTGGTTCTTGCTGAAGCTTTAACGTGCTGCGTAACACGAGAATGAACCTCATTGGTTCTTGCTGAAGCTCAAACGTGCTGCGTAACACGAGAATGAACCTCATTGGTTCTTGCTGAAGCTCAAACGTGCTGCGTAACATGAGAATGAACCTCATTGGTTCTTGCTGAAGCTTAAACGTGCTGCGTAACATGAGAATGAACCTTATTGGTTCTCGCACGTCAAGTGAAAATGCTTGAGCTGATGTGTGAGTTGAATGTTTATATATGAATAAAAGCCCAAATTATATCTGTTTAGTGTATAAAGTGATCGTTTCTCTTTGGACTAAACTGCTCAATTCATATGGATTAGTTTTACGATCTCTTTATGAAACTTTGTCAAAGTGGTAGTTGCGTAGCTGTCAATGGAGGAACAGAAATCTCTCAGATTTTATCAAAAGATCTTCATTTGAGCTCCAAAGATGAACAAAAGTCTTACAGGTTTGGAACGGCATGAAAGTGAGTAAATTATGACACAATTTTCTTTGACAGAATAGTTTTTTGAGTGAACTTTAAATCCCTTTGTTTTGGTATATTTTAATCATTATATTTGAGTGACCATAAATGATGCATCATTTGAAGGGTTTTAGTCACCTCAAATTATTTATAGGCACATTGTACATTTCACCAGTTTTATCACCCTTATTGGGTAAAAAATGGGAAATATTTATATATATAATTTTTCAATTAATCAATAATCAAACTGATTGACTTCAATAATCAAACTGACTGATTTCATCTTGAAACTTTACCTGTAAATAGAGATGCCTTGCAAATAGTAAATATTTTATGCATTCGGTGAGTTAAACCATTTTGTAATTCAAATACCAATGCTAAGGTAACTTAATATCTAATCCTAGATCAGTTATTTCAATGTTTTAGTCCATTTCTGATACATATGAAAGAAGAAACAAATCATTAAGGGGTCTTCAAAAAAACTTAAACTTAAAAATAAGTTTTAGAATGAAAGCTGCTTCAGGTAAAGTGTAAAGTTTAGTCACAAATAGTTCATTGTTTAATTAATACTGGATTTTGCCGCCATTATACAGGTATATGCAAAGAATAACATTTAGCACATACAGTATGGGACTAAATTTATTACACTAAATTCTCAAAACAATATGGCACAGTCATAAATGTGTGTAGTGGATACACGTTACATTTGCGTATCCTCTGCACCTCTTGTTCTGCAAGGCGACGTGACACACTGTAGTGTTGAAGCATTATGGGACAGTGATCATAATAGTTTCATGGATCAGGGATCAAAACAAGCTGAAGTCTGGGTAGGTCATTGACATCTCATTCACAAACCTAAGAGAATAAATGAAATGCATGTATTAATGCATTACACAATTATTTGCTGACACACATTGGCCTACACAGAGTTTGGCTCATAGCTTAAGATTCATCATACTTTGTCATTTCGCTGTTTTTTCGTGAGAAGTGACGGGTTCGAGTCCAGGGCTCCTGGTTCTTCACGCCTCCAGTGGGAACCCACCAACCATACTGCTGGTTGTCCGTCACAGGTACACGATACAGGTCTTTAGGATCTGAAAGGGAAACAAGATCTCATCAGTGACCACCAATCATGTTGCTAATGAATGAAGATCTGAAGCAGGGCTGCTAACTTTTGAGTTCAGCTTGGAGTGAGAATTATTATTGGTTTAGATTTTGATTCAATTCATAAGCTTGCGATTTGATTCCCATCTTGATTTCAAATGTTGATTCATTTCAATATACTGTATTATTTCAGGTACAGTACATGGTTTTTTTTCTCAAGGAAAAAAAAGTATCTGAACTACTGAAATACAGTACAGCCTACAGGGAACCAAGTAAGGTGTACATAATTAAAAGGCAAGGCAAGGCAAGTTTATTTATATAGCACATTTCATACACAATGGTAATTCAAAGTGCTTTACATAGAAGAAATTAAAATAATCAAAACAAATAAGAATAATTGAAACAGTTTAGAATAAAAAATAAAGTACAGTAAAAACAGTCGGACGAACAGTGGCACAGTGCTCATTCAGTAAATGCATAGCTAAACGCAATTGCGCAATTCACAAACCTAAGAGTAAATGAAATTTTAAAAGTTAAAATTAATAACTGATTTGTAAACAATTGCATATAAGGCAGTTTTGTAATAACTTTTTAGTGATATAAGTTAATGTAATATAATGCAGGGGTTTTTTTTCTCTCAAAATGCTCCTCTCTAGAGTTCATTTTTCTATTGAATTTTCCCATACTATGGCCACTGAGTGGAATTGAAGGTTGTTTCGCCATGGAATAAAACAATTTAAAAGATAATTGCGACTTTTTCCTCTCACAAATGGGAGATATAAACTATCAATTGTGAGTTATGTCAGAATTGCTAGTTGTTTATAACTAGCAATTCTGACATAGCTCACAATTGCGAGTTTATATCTTGCAATTCAGACTTTTTCTCGCATTTGCGGGTTTATATCTTGCATATCTGGCTTTTTACTCACAATTCTGACTTCTTTTCTCAGAATTGTGCGATATAAACTAGCAATTGTGAGCTATAACATCCAATTCTGAGGTAGGACCTAAACAATAATTATTTTTGAAAAAAGTCAGAATTGCGAGATAAAAAAAAAAAAATCAGTGGCGGAAAGAAGCTTCCATAGAGTGACTTTCCTGAAGTAAACAAAGATAGGTGACATTTAGGGCTGTCAAATGATTAATCGCGATTAATCGCATCCAAAATAAAAGTTTGTGTTTACATAATATATGTGTGTGTAGTGTGTATAATAATTTTGTATATTTAAATACACACACATGCATGTATATATTTAAGAAATATTTGCATGTATATATTTTATATATATTTATACATAATTAATATTATATATAAATATAAATATTTTATATATTAATAACACATTTTTCTTAAATATATACATGCATGTGTGTGTATTTATATATACAAAATAATTATACACACTACACACACATATATTATGTAAACACAAACTTTTATTTTGGATGCGATTAATCGCGATTAATCGTTTGACAGCCCTAGTGACATTGTATACAAGCCTTTTTTAGACGTCCGACCGAGCGATTATGACATGATACATTTCAATAGGTTGTACCGTTTCTTTCAACATACCTTCGGATGTTCATTCATGTTTATTTTGTGTTATGACTATAGTAAAGAGGAAAAGATGGCAATTGAACTTGGAGTTACAGCAATCTCTCATGCTCATTAAAGAGCCACAAAACCTTTTTTGTTTGTTTATTAAATTTCTTAATACAATTGATAGAAATGGAAAGCTGAGACTGTTTTATATCAGAAGTAAACTGCTCTGTCTTTTGTCAGTTGTCAGTGTCTTTGCTCCTCAATGTTTTCTTCATTGAGGGCGGGATGCTTTAGATTCTAGAGAGCATTTGATTGGACAGTAAATCTGATGAGAAGCAGAAGTGCAGAGTGATGTCATCAAAATCACTGACCCATATTGAAGGAAGTGAGAGATTGTAAGTCTTGAATGATTATATCTTCTCAATGTGAATTTTGTGATTGTTTTGGAACACATAGCTTATAACAGTAAGGCTAACATATTCACACTAAAAGCCAAAATACTTCTTGATTTTATGAGGACTTTAAGACTAATTCATTAAAAATAGCATAATGCACACGAACAAATCTGAACATGATATGGTAGTACTGTATTGTATATCAATTCTCTATTTTGAGAAAGCATAATTGCAGGAACTAGCCTAGGTTATACAAAACCTCTCTTTGGTTAGTAATAAATGCAGTATGTGGGTGTTTGATGTATTAAGTATGAACTTACACCCCCGGCCCCGAACGCGTCTGGTCATATCCTGATATCTGCTCTGGCTGCCAAGATGCAGGTCCGATGAGTCTGAAGGGAAAAACCAAACATACTGGACCTCACTGTACTATATGTAGACAGATGTGCAGCTAAAGACGCGCAGCGCCTGCATTAAAGTCGAACCACAGCAGCCATACCTCGCGTATCTTTGTTTTGAGCAGATGGTAACATCCTGTCCCCAACAGGGTTCTGATAGCCCAGATATGTGATTCCGAAGAAAGCCATAATCAAAGCTGTATAATTAGTACTCAGGTTAACGTTACCTCAACAAGAGCAGAACGAGCACCAAAAAGAGTCGAGCACCACACGAGCTTCAAGCGCTAATGTTTAATGTGTTGTCATGGATACTTGCACACTGCCCCTCATTTCCTGTTCATTCATTAGCACGTTTAAAAAAATAATGCTCAAAGCAGAGTTAGATTTGATTACAGTCAAATTCAAAGCCGTAAATACATTTCATGCTTCCTAAATATCCCCTCCGTCCACTTATTAGTTCACGGTTTTTTAGTTAACAACTTGTTTGTATAGAAAATAAACCGGTTAAATGATTCAATGAGATGCACCTGGCATGACAGAATGATCTTACTGCTAGAAAAAATATCTTGGAAAGTGGTTACAACGCGTCCACTTTAGTGCAGGACTGCAGGTAAGTAACTTAGGCCTTGTGCTGAAGCACCATTCTTTGAACCACCTCACTCCTTTTCGTGGAATATATTTATCACACAAATTAAAGAACTGTTTGAGTTCTCATTAATAGATGTGCTTATTGGCTTCATTGAACGCACCTGCTAGGATATACATTCTCAAAATTCTCATATTTTTTGGTAGCTAGGCTTTTTCTCGGTTTGGCTGGTTCTTTTGGAGATGAAAATATTTGATAGAGTATACTATATAGTTAGACTTCCGCATTTGCTCGTCTTTTTTTTTATATATATATCTAGGCTACTCATGTTTATTTGTATAGTAAGATACCAAAATGTTATTAATGGGAGAGTTCTGTGGTTCAGAATCAGCACAGACAGAGACTGGTACCTCTGTGGTTTGGAAGTTGCATGCAGTGTGAAGCTGAAAATTTGATGACGAATGAGAACAATTGATCAGGGGTTGTAACAATTGTTTTTGCTTTTTATGTGTCCATCTGCTTTAACAAGATATCCAGTATCCAAGTGCTTCAAAGGCAGTGCCATAAAAAAAAAAAATGCTAGTAGGCCAAAAGTTTAATGCACCCTTAGGTGACAAATTAATTGAAATATTCAATGTTTCCTTCATACAAATTAATTTATAATTAGGAAAATGCTAAATGTTGTATAACATGTCCCACTGAGGGACACTGTTGTCAATGATCTTCTAAAATTGAAACCGTTTCTGGTACTACGCCAAATGCATCCATTTGTTGTAGTACCAGAACGTTTTCAATTTTAGAAGATAATTGACTACAGTAAGTTGACAATAAGTTACATAAAGTTCTTGTTGTACCAGAATTTGTGATCCAGTTTGGTTTGTTTTCATACAGGATGCGTTTACGAAGTCCTCAATGTGCACTACGCATAAATCTGAGCTTCTTGGGACTGACCCTTTTAATCACCATTCTATGGGTGATACAGCTGGATCTAGTGGGGTGGAGGTCTGCCAGCGGGTTTCAAGGCCTTTCACTAAAGCCAAGATACAGAGGCAGTGTGGGTTTGAATTCCAGCAGCACTTGGCATTTTCGAAACAATGCCTCTGCACCACAATTTAAATGGGCTTCAGCATTATCTGGAGATGCCAGCTGTCCCTCTGGGTTCTATAGCATGAAGGAGCTCAGGCCTCACATACAGAGACCTCAGGAGGATCCTGAAGGACCTGGAGCGGATGGAAACCCCTTCATAACTGGCATCATGACTCGTGTGGAGTTGAGGGAGAAGCAGGAGGGTCTCTCTAGAAACGGCTTCAACCAGTTTGCCAGTGACCGCATCTCCTTCCACCGTAGTCTTGGTGTTGACACTCGGCCCTCTGAGTGAGTATCATAAGAGGCAGGCTGAGCAAAATTGTTCGAGAGACCTATTTACCATGTAGTTCTAGATTAATTCCAAATATCTAATCCAATTCTCTGTTACTCTTTTAAGATGCATTGAGAAAAAGTTCAGCAGATGTCCACGGTTACCCACTACCAGTGTGATAATTGTGTTCCACAATGAGGCTTGGTCCACTCTTCTCCGCACCATCTTCAGTGTCTTGCATACATCACCTGCTGTTTTACTTAAAGAAATCATACTGGTGGATGATGCAAGTACTCAAGGTGAGTCAAGGCAAAGATACATAGCATTTTTATGTCCTTGGTATGAACAAGATTGACAATAAAATGAGCAAAAAATTCCATGGACTTACATTGGAAGAAGAGGCCCAAGCCATTTCTTGAGATTCTTGACTTGAGGCAGTAAGCAACTTCCCAGAACACCCTAGTAGCAATGCCTTAGCAGTCACCTAGGACACCTTAGCAATGCCTTAGCAACCATTCAGGAGACACTAGTAACACCTTATCAAACACCTAAAACACCCTATCAACCACCCAAGAAAATGGGAATGCCTTAGCAACCACCCAAGACACACTAGCAACCACCCAAGACACACTAGTAACACCTTGGCAACCAGTCAGAACACAATGGCAACGTTTTAGCAATTCAATTAACATTTATTTGTATAGCGCTTTTCACAATACATATCATTTCAAAGCAGCTTTACAGCAACCGCTTAACAGCCACCCAGAAGAAAATGGCAATGCCTTAGCAACCACCCAAAGCACACCAGTAACACATTGACAACCACCCAAAACACCCTAGCAACACCTTAACCACCCAGAACAACATGGAAAGACCTTAGCAATCACCCAAGAAACACTAGAAATGGCCTAGCAAGTAGCAACACCTTAGTGACCATTCAGAACATCCCAGCAATCACCCAGGACACCCTAGCAACACTTTATCAACCACCTTGAACAGACACTCTAGTAACATCTTAACAATCACCCAGAAAAACCTAGCAAAATCTTAGCAACCAATTAGGACACCCTAGCAACACCTTGTCAACCACTCAACATACTATGTGTTAAAACGCTATCTTATTCAAATGTGGAAATCTAGTTGAAACCGTATATCTTTGATTTGAAATTTTGTAGATTAAGGCAGTTTTCATTTCAGATCATCTAAAAGCCCCGCTAGAACAGTATGTCCAGTCTCTTGAGATTGTGCGTGTCCTGAGGCAGCGTGAAAGGAAAGGTTTAATTGCTGCCAGACTCTTGGGTGCACGTGAGGCTGGAGGAGAAGTGCTTGCCTTCCTGGACTCCCACTGTGAGTACATAACTATCGGGGACTTTATAGAGTGCAGTGCATCACAACCTTTGTCTTTCACAGAAACTGAATTGACTGGAGGTATCAAATCTTAGTCCTTTAAAAGGTGAACATAATATATTCAGACAGTCATGAGGATCGAGTCCAACCAAAGTTGATTTGTTAAAGTAGACCTATTAGTCAAATTCATAATCTGATTTTAGTGTGTGTTTTCCCAGGTGAGTGTTTCTATGGTTGGTTGGAGCCCCTGTTGGACCGGTTAATTCAGGAACCTACCGCAGTTGTGAGCCCAAGCATTGCTGTCATCAACAAGGACAATCTACAGTTTATAAAGCCAGTGCCGTCAGCCCTCACACATAACCGAGGGAAATTTAACTGGATCCTGAGTTTTGGCTGGGAGACTATACCTGAAGAAGAGAGGGTGAAACGCAAAGATGAAACCTATCCAGTCAGGCAAATGATACACACACACACACAGACGTTGATTTTCCATGTTATATCGGGACGTTCCGTAGACAATTATTTTTATATTTTACCCCCTAACCCCCAAACTACCCATCATAGAACACTTTCTGCATTTTTACATTTTTGAAAAACATCACAGTATAATTTATAAGCAGTTTTCCTCATAAAAAAAAAAAAAAAAAAAAACTCCCCACATGAAACACATTTTTCTCATTAACGCACATCAGTTTAAATTGCATTTAATATCACTGCTGCATGAGACACCAATTTTCATGTAGTTATATTTTTCTTTCAGGACACCTGCTATTGCCGGAGGACTTTTTGCCATTTACAAGCAGTTCTTTGAACACATTGGGTCCTATGATGACAAGATGGAGTTTTGGGGAGGAGAGAACATAGAAATGTCATTTAGGGTAAGACTCTCTTGCATCCTTTTATTCTTCGCATCCTTTAACAGCGTCATTACGCCAGTCTTCGGTGTCACATGAAAATCATTCAAGTGAACTTTTGTTAAAGGGATACTCTACTGGTTTTTCATATTAAACTGTTATTCCCTTAACTAAGACGAGTTGATATATACCTCTCTCGTCTCAGTGCGTGCACTACATCGCTGTCTTGCGGCGAAACTTTGTTAGATCTTATCTCAGCCCTGTTCATTCACTACGTGCCCAGAAGAGAAGCGACCAAACACCTCCACGTTTTCCCTATTTAAATACAGTTACACGAGTAGTGTAACTCGACCTAGGACGGTGACACAAAATAAAACGTTGCGCTTTCTAAGCGTTTATATTGTATGGCAGAATACCATAGCAAGTGCTTGGGAGCACTCCGACTCGGCGCAGTAATACTCGTTAAAAGTCCTCTCCGCCCGGTCCCTCTCCTCCTCCCTCTCATTTCAACGGGAGCGGACTTTTCACGAGTTACTCGAAGTGCTCCCAAGCACTTGCTATGGTGTTCTGCCATACAATATAGTTATCCATTTTACACGCTTAGAAAAGCGCAACGTTTTATTTCGTGTCACCGTCCTAGGTCGAGTTACACTACTCGTGTAACTGTATTTAAATAGGGAAAACGTGGAGGTGTTTGGTCGCTTCTCTACTGGGCACGTATTGAATGAACAGGGCTGAGATAAGATCTAACAAAGTTTCGCCGCAGACAGCGATGTAGTGCACGCACTGAGACGAGAGAGGTATGTATCAACTCGTCTTAGTTAAGGGAATAACATAGTTTAATAGGAAAAACCAGTAGAGTATCCCTTTAACATGTATCATAAAATTAGACAATTTTGACATTTGTCATTTCAAAACTATAAAAATAATTTTTATAAATGAAATAAGGCTGAACTAAAAGTAAAATTGTGTAATAAAATAACAGAAAACAAAATCATAAAATTGTATCATAAAATTAGACAATTTTGACATTTTTCATTTCAAAACTATAAAAATAATTTTTATAAATGAAATAAGGCTGAACTAAAAGTAAAATTGTGTAATAAAATAACAGAAAACAAAATATAATAAAATATACAATTAATAATGTAAAACAAATATGGCAACTAACTGAAATAAAATAAAATTGTTGAAGTACTAAAATGACTAAATCTAAAGCTAAAATAAAAATAAATGAAAGCTAAATTTAAAAATAAAATGACAAGCACATAACTGTTATGATTCCAGCCTGTGTTCCCCTGGTGCTTGTACTTTTATGTTACGTCCTGTTCTACTCCATGTTTTGTAGTTTTTTGTTGTTGATTTTGTTCTGTGATTGAGTGTCTTGTTTGTCTAGTATTTATACACCAGTGTTTCTTATGTCCCTTGTCGAGCCTAGTCCTACATGGATGTATGTTTGGTGCTGCTCATTCTGTTATCTCGTTTTTTTTATTCACCCAGCGTTACAAGAACACAATTTCAAAAACCAAAATGAAATCGAAATAAACGACACTGCTCTGGTTCCAGGTATGGCTGTGTGGAGGTCGTCTAGAGATCATTCCCTGTTCTGTGGTCGGCCACATCTTCCGCACCAAAAGTCCGCATACCTTCCCAAAAGGCATGGATGTGATCATAATCAACCAGGTTCGCCTCGCAGAAGTCTGGATGGATGATTACAAGAAGATTTTCTACAACAGAAATAAAAAAGCTGCTGCCTTTGAAGCAGAGGTGAGAGAAGTGGATAATGTGTGTAATATTTGTAATTTATTGCAAAATAAGTCTTATTTGTAAAGCTCACATTTGTCTTTTACCTTTGAGGAGCACAGAAATCATACGGGGACATAAGGGAACGCCTGAAGCTCAAAGAGCAGCTACATTGCAAAAATTTCTCCTGGTATCTAGACAACATTTACCCAGAGTTCTTTGTGCCTGATTTGAACCCTGTGCTGTTTGGATCGGTAATGCAGTGTTATAATTTGATCATTTATTGCAATAATAATTTGATAATTTACAGCAATATACATGTGTGCATGCGCTTATTGTGTCTGTAGTTGAAGAACATTGCCACAAAAACTTGTCTTGATATTGGTAAGAAGAATCCTGGAGGGAAGTCAGTGATTTTATTCATTTGCCACAACATGGGAATAAATCAGGTATTCTAATGACCACTGCTGTCATACTCACATAATTATTATTTTTGGCCATTTACTTATTGGTTCCATACTTTTTCTTTTACACTGAATTTGACCACTCATAAACATGAAAATGTGGCCACCGTAAACAGAACCACACTGCTTTTTCTGTGTTATTTTATCTTTGTAGTATTTTGAGTACACTTCGCATCAGGAGCTGAGGCATAATATTGATAAGCAGCTGTGTCTGCATGCAACGATCGAGCCCGAACCTGTGCGAGTGGAGCTGTGCAACTTTCAGGGTGATGAAACCGTCCCAGCTCCACAGCAGATGTGGAGTTTCATTCTTGTTTCCCAACAGGTATAGTACATGTCAATTTCCCAACAACCCTTTTTCCCCGTGACATTGCAAAAAAATGAATGTACTATCATGGCACAAACTTATATAATCTCAAACTTTTGTGCACTTCATTGTTTAATTTGTTTTTTGTTTGTGTTATCTTACCTTATACATTTGCGATTGTTTGCAGATATATCTTCTCCACAGTGCTCTGTTTAATAAGTGTTTAATGGTGGAGTATGGCAACATCATCATGAAAAGCTGTGACCCTGCCAACAACTATCAGCATTGGTCTTTCATCTGATCTGTGTCCTCCATCAGATTACCTGACTCTCTTTAGCACAAAATAGAAGTGCAATGAATAGTTGCACAAATGTTGCATCATGTTGTGCACTAATGTAAGTTGTTAATGTAATAAGGCACACTTTCAGTACACACGTTTATTTTGTTTGTCACATTGAACACTGTTCAGTTGCTAACCAATGTATTTATTATTACATGAAAGCTCATGAATTAAAGATATAAAGACTTTTTGTAAGCGAGGTATGCAATGATTTGTGTTGTGAACTGGATTTAAATGCTCTTTTTAATGGTTTATCCCTGAGCAATACCACTTAGTATTGGGATAGTTTACCCAAAAAGGAAAACTCTGTCATCATTTACTCACCCTCAAGTTGTTCCAAACCTGTATGAGTTTCTTTCTTCTGCTGAACACAAAAGAAGATATTTTAAAGAATGTTAGTAATCAAACAGTTGATGGTAGCCATTGACTTCCATAGTATGTTTTTCTTCTGTGTTCAACAGAAGAAAAAAACTCATACAGGTTTGGAACAACTTGTGGGTGAGTAAATGACAATTTTCATTTTTCGGGGCACTATCCCTTTAAAATCTAATCGAAGATGTACATCAACGCAAGGTGGCGCTAATGCAATAGACTAGAATAGAGTTTCTAATGACCCAAAATGGTGTTTGTTCTGCAGTTGTTAACGTAATAAATGACTCAGAATCTTAACGTTATACTAAATATGCCTAGTAGACGCGTTTATTTTTTGTATTAAATCTGCAATGTCATGCAGACATTATTTTGAGAACTGTATGACTTTTTTTCTAGCTCTTATCAGCAAGACCTATTAGAAAGTCCGCAAGCGCGCTCGCCATTGCAGCGTTTAGCTGTCAATCACCACCGTGATTGGTTCATCGTCCACAAGCCCCTCCCCCTGCAGCATGGCCCCGCCCACCTCCATTTTCCTCCCGCGCGGTTGCGCGACTGACGTCACATGCTCGAGCAATGATGGGCAGTCGAGCGAGCGCTGGTGAGTTCCTCTCTACACCAATAAAATCACTGAGTCCCGCCGTGTCGTTTTAACAGGGAAGGAGGAAACTGTCTTAAAAAAAAAAATGTCACTGTAGTCGCTAATGTTTCATCTCTGCGCTCATACACAACGGACCTGGTACTACTCTATAAGTTTAGCTTTTAAATCCTGGTATTTTCGTTTTGTTTAACTAAAGACCACTAAATGTAAGTACCACGTTGTTATGCAGTGTGTGTGTGTTTGGTTCTGCTGTTTACTAACGTCAGCAGCTCTAACCACAACTAACCAACTTTGCCTTATAGCAGTTGATTTTAAATGAATTCTAGATAACTGTATGTTTAAAGCATTTGTTTTGAATGTGATGCTTTGACTGGAATAACAGCTTGCTAATGATTTCAAGCAGTGTCAGGCTGAGCCCTGTTAAATAAGGGATTGTGCTAATAACATTATGGTAAGTTGTGTGTGTGAGAGAGAGAGAGTGTGGGTTGTGAGAGCTTGTATTTTTGTGTCAGTTTATACCTTTATCTTTCCTGAATGCCACAGAGAGAGCACACACTACAGTCCCTGAACACAGTGGTAGGACGATGTGTTTGTCATCCCAATGCAAATAGCTATGTGATGTGACTTGTCAAATTACTAGACTAGTCTATTGTTAGAACAGCTAGTCCGTGTTTGTACGTCTGTTCCTCGAATTGATTCGGCATTGGCAAAATTATTGCATGTGAAATACAATGATTCGCAAATGCAAACCATTTTCTTAGAGTATATTCTTCCAGGTGGCGTTTACTGTAGGTCCAGTTTTCATATTCAGGCCATTTAGTAAACAAGCTTGCTCTGATGTGTCATTTGTTGATATTGTGTTGCTTGTTTAATATTTGTTGACACTGACTAAAGCTGCCAAACACACAAAGTACAAAGTGCTTTGGAGAACACTTTTAGAGTGTGAATCCGTGTGTCTGTAGTAATGTACCAATTTATTTATTAATTTAACAATTTAGAGGTTGGTGATTTAACGGACATGTTACTTCATTATTTGTCCAAACAATCTACCAAGTGTCTAATACATTTTCTATACTACTAAAAAAAAAATTGGGGATTGAGAAAATAATGTATAGTGTTCTTTTGGAAATTTTGCTGTGAATTTGTTGTCATTAAATTGCTTTATGTAGTGTACTGTATTTATCAACATTATGCCATCTTGATCTCTATCTCTCAAATAAGTAAATAATTGCCCTGACAACATTTCACCACAAAATATTTAGGCTATATAATATAAAACCTTTTATTTTTAGAAACATGTTTTTGTTATTTGTCATGTAACAAAAACTTTAATTATTATTTTCACTTAAACGGAAACACAATAACACTATTTGAATCTAAATAAAATAAAATAAAATCCAGTAATAATGATAATGAGAAAAAAAAGAAAAAAAAACCACAAAACACACAAAAAAAAACCTATAATATAAAAAAAACCTTGAGCCAAATGTTACCTCTACAGAGGTTCAGTAGACTGCTATACACTTTAAGAACCATAAACGGCAAATATTCAGTGAAAAGAAATGCTTATTCAAATATAAATCTTCCCTTAAATAAGATCTCTTGTAAATTGGTTGGTAGATGCAACATAACCGGCCCCCACGTCTTTCCAACAATTGCTTTTCTTAAGCAAAATTGTTTTTTAATTTGCAATTATAACTGGAAATTATACATCTTCAATATAACTCCAGAAAGCTATACATTCATAAACACTTTTTTTTATCTGACTGTATGAACATAAGGACAACATGAGATTGATCTCCTGCACTTTAATCTTTTCCTGACCTCTTGGCAGACAAGATGAGCACCCTTCCCCTCTCACGCTCAGAAGTGTTTGGGCAACTGAGGAAAGAGCTACACGACGATGTGGAGTTTCACCAGTCCGATGTGCATATCTTCATCATCATGGGTGCTTCGGTGAGTCCCAGAGTGTGTGTGGAATATTTTAATATCTCTGTCTCTTCTAATGCAGCCTTGAATTCTCACTCATTTTGAACACGTTGCATATATTGATGACAAACCAAAAATTTGTGTGAATTCATGTTATTTGGGACACTTTTTAAAATGTATTTTACAGTGACTACATTTGCATGCACCACAGTGTTCTGATAGTAATCAGAATTTGGCAGTATTCTGTTTATGGATGTAATCATGTAAACGGCGCACTCCAATCGGCCGGGTTTAAGACCATATTCTGATTCCACAAATTCCCATTCCCTATAATCAGAACATTGTTGCATCCAAACACCTTATTCAGAAAATTAGTTGAAAGGAGATATATCTCGATATAACTCTCCAGTCCTTGCTGCATTCTTTCTTCCGCTCTCTTTTCTTCTATTGCCGAGTTACATATTACTACACACGTGTTTATTAACGATTGCTCACCGCTTTCTATTTAATGGCGAAGCTTTTAGGATTTTTTTTTAATGTGAGAAGTAATTAGAGTCAGTCCAAATGAAATTATTGTGAAAAATATACAGGAATATTCCGCTGCATGTACGCATATAAACATCGAATTGGGAATATGACTGCAACCCGAATATAGACCTTTAACAGAATTTGATGTGCATGTAGATAGACATATTCATTGAAGTGATTGTCTGAAATGTGCCAAATTGCCCTACTAATTTATTGATGTACACTGTAAAAAAACTTAACTCATTATTTTGTGTTATCTTTTTGCATGGGTTTTTTTTTAGTTTAACTAACTTATTTCGATAAGTTGAGGACAAGAAAACTTAAAATTTCTTGTTGCCTGGACAATCTAGTTATCTCTACACAAAAAAATAAGTTGAAATAACTAAATTGCTAAAATATTTTTTACAGTGTAGTTCCCATTTCAAATTATTCCTGAAGAAACATGGTAGTTTCTTTAGTATTGCACACCTTATGGTTTTACAGCACAGCCTGTTTACTGCTAGTCCGGTAAAGGTAGAAAGTCTCTGATTCCTCTGAATTGGTACAATGGCCTTGATGTTTTGTAGAAGGAAGTACAACTGAAATTAAGCAACCATGAGGGGGCGTTGCCAACATAAGCTTTCTATTTCTCATTCAGACAGAACAGGGCGGTTGAGTAATTCAGCAGGTCAGTTCACAGCTTATGGCCTTGAAAGGGGATTGGTCAGGTGTGGTGACAGAAGGTCTGTGATTGGCTGGACACGACGAAAGCCTTATCTAGACAGCCTTTATTAGGTTTGGCATGCATATAAATGCAAAACATCAAGAATAAAAAGTGAAGTTTGCATTTCAGTTGGTCAAGCTTTTGCACTTCTCACAAGAGTGTTTTCCCCTTTTCATCTTTTAGTGATGAAATTTAAACCTTCTTCCTCCTTTTTTCGGCTTGCTTTTCCTTGTTCCTCCTCATTTTGTTCAACTTTTTAGTTGGCCGATTTTACGCAACTGCTGTGTGAAAGATCTTTGTTAATGTTGGCTTTTCTTGTTCTTATTGTTTGGGTTTTTAAATAGGTGCTAGTGAGCTGGATTATGCAAAATCACTCTCTGTCAGCACTTTTCTTTCAGTTAGTGTGCAGAGAGAGGTGAAAGAGCTGGGCTTGTGTGTTTGGGATAAGGGTGGGGTTGGAAAGATTTGACATGGGGTTGCAAAGGTTTGTGGCATAATGATAAACATTGAATCCATTCAGTAACCGTGTCAAAATCCAGATGCAACATCACCTGATTTTTCTGACCTTGAGCCACTTACATTCAGCACGTCGGACCCCAGCCAGTCATATAATCACATGTGTCTCAAACATTAGCTTTAGTTTTAAAGACAGTTACAGCTGTGCCTTTAATGATTTGCTGGGTTAAAATATGAAGCTAAAGCAAATGTCCTTAAATGCATTTGTAAATGAAACACACATGAACATCTGTTGTTGTGTTAAAATGTTTTATTTTGTGAATGTAAATAAGATTACACATTAGTGAGTTAATGGCCACTTTATTAGGTACGCCTGTTCAACTGCTCGTTAACGCAAATATCTAATCAGCCAATCACATGGCAGAAACTCAATGCATTTAGGCATGTAGACGTGATCAAGACGATCTGCTGAAGTTCAAACTGAGCATCAGAATTTGGAAGAAAAGTTATTAAAGTGACTTTGAATGTGGCCTGGTTGTTGGTGCCAGACGGGCTTTTCTGAAATACTCAGAACAGCTGGTGGTGTGTATGGTATATTTTCTTTAGGCTTCTTAGTACCAATTCAGCTGACTTGAGTATTGTTGCTGACCGTGTCCATCCCATCTTCTGATGAATACTTTTAGCAGGATAACACGCATGTCACAAAGCTCAAATCACCTCAAACTGGTTTCTTGAACTTGTCAGCGAGTTCCCTAAACTCAAATGGCCTCCACAGTCACCAGATCTCAATAGAGCAGCTTCGGGATGTGCTGGAACGGGAGATTTAACATCATAGATGAGCAGCCGACAAATCTGCAGTAAAACTGCTTGATGCTTTCATGGCAATATAGACATGGCAAGATCTCTGAGGAACGTTTCCAGCACCTTGTTGAATCTATCAAGACCCAGACCCATAGCCTCTGGCTTTCTACTGGCATGCTCTGCTGTTTACACACTCGAGGATCACTGAGATACACATTCATCAGTGTGGAAACACTGTAGTCACTATCAGAGCAAATACATGGATTTATTCTGGTTGCTAAGTTTTTGCATGTTTGTTTTAGTATGATTATGCTGGATTGTTCATAACAAAAATCCATTCACATCGATTTAGTAACTTAAGTCACCATTACAGAGTGCTTTTCACCCCAGCAAATCAGCTGGAATGATTAATTGGTTAAATAGCGAACCGTTTATCAACTAATTACTGCCAATAATGAATACTGGAGAGATGGGACTCTCCCACAATGCTGTAATTCAGGCCCAAGACAAACCGAATAGTGCTGTCTCACTGTGCACAGTGTGTTTCTCATGTGTCTGAATGGGTGTGGAGCAGATCTGCTCAGATCAATGACCTTTGCATTGAGATAGTCCCATTGAGCTGGGATGGGTTGACTGTTGTATTTGTTTTTTAAAACTTTATTTTATCTGTTCTTGTGTGTTTTGTATCTATTATATAGTAGTCATCTTTATATTCAGCTGTATTTATGACATGAGTCACTGTGGTTCCACAGAAATTATGGCTGCATTTCAAAATCTGCCGAACCTCTGTGGCAATTTGGTGCTTCATGTTAGGACATGACTGTTATGGCCAACACGGCTTCTTAGGCAGGCAGTTCCTTATGATTTGATTCCTTTTAAATGGTCATGACATGAATTTTTTATTTTTATTTAAATGTTCTTTGACGGTCACTTTTTAAGGTTAATAAAGTTTTCTTTCCACAATAAAAACAAATATATGTGGAAAAATGGCTAGCCTATTTACAACCTTCATTCTGACCCTATGTCAAAAGATTTTGAAAGTACGACCAGGTCTATTTTTTTAAATTTGATCTACGATAAATTAAATCTACGACGTTATTTTAAGTAATTTGTTTAAAAATGTAGAATGGGATCATAATTTTAGCCTTTTAGATCAATCAACACTGATCTCAGACCAGCTCTGCTTTGAGACTCTGGTGTGATGATCTAGTTTAGAAAAAATTGCACTCTGAAACTGAAGAGTGTCAGTTGTGTGGCGGTTTCGGTTTGTGTAATTGAGCCAACATGAATAAATTGTGCCGTGATGTAACAAATGTGTTCTTTTTGTAGGGAGATCTGGCCAAAAAGAAAATCTACCCAACTTTGTGGTGAGTCCTCTAACTTAACATGCCTTCATGCATACTATTATTTACTATATACTACAGTTCATAATTTTAGGGTCGATAAGTTTTTAAAGTGATCTTGACAAGTCTCTGCATTTATTTGACCAAAAATACAGTGAAATATTATTACATTTCAAAGTAACTTTTCTGTTTGAATATTATAAAATGTAATTTATTCCTGTGATCAAAGCTGAATTTTCAGCATCATTACTCCAGTCTTCAGTGTCACATGATCCCCCAGAAATCATTCTGATATGATGATTTGGTGCTCAAGAAACATTTCTTATTATCAATGTTGAAAACAGTTGTGCTGCTTAATATTTTTGTGGACCTTTTTTTTTTTTCAGGATTCTTTGATGAATAGAAAGTTAAAAAGAACTGCATTTATTTGAAATGGATATCTTTTGTAACATTATAGAAGTTTTTACTGTCACTTCTGATCAATTTAATGTGTCCTTGCTAAGTAAAAGTAACTATCTTTAAAAAAAATCATTCTTAACGATAGCATATGTCTATTTATTTCTGTTTCTCTCTATAGGTGGTTGTTCAGAGACGGTCTTCTCCCCGAACAGACATATTTTGTGGGCTTTGCTCGTTCCGATCTGACCGTGGATGCCATACGTGCGGCCTGCATGCCCTACATGAAGGTCAGCGCTCAAGAGTTTTCTCCATGTGCACTGTTGTCTGCTTACCGTATCTGTGTGTGTTCATGTTCATACGGCCTGTTTTTTTCCTCCCTTCAGGCGGTCGACTCTGAGGCAGAGCGCCTGGCTGCGTTCTTCAGTCGAAACTCTTACATCAGCGGGAAGTACGTGGATGAATCGTCTTTTGCTAACTTGAACACTCACCTCCTGTCCCTGCCCGGAGGAGCCGAGGCCAACCGGCTCTTCTACCTGGCCCTGCCGCCCAGCGTCTACCACGATGTCACCAAGAACATCAAACATCAATGCATGAGCACCAAGTGAGGAGCGAACACATGCAGTTGCTTTGGTTTCATTTTTGCTTAATTATGTGTTTTATATTCTTAATACAAGGCAAGATGTGTCCAAAAGTAGGTTAGAGGTTATGCGACGGACTTAAATATAACTTTTCTAGGCAGTCTAACTTATAATTTTGACCTGACTGTCAAAAAATCCCCACATACTTTCATTGAAGGGAGGCACCTGAGCCATTTGTAGGGACCAGATTCACAAAAAATTCTTAAGAATAACATTCTTCTTAACTGCTTTTTTCTTGTTATTTTCTAATTTAAGAAAAAAGATAAGAATATTTTGTATTGTAAAGGTAAAATGTGTAATTTATTGGGTTGTTTCAAAGATGAATCATTACAAAGTAACACAAGCTACATATAATACATATTGCTAGTAGCAGGAATGTGGACGAGTGACACCGATCGATCATTAAAACAGTGATCATCACTAGAGTGAATGAGCGTCTGAGCGTTTATTATAACTACAGTCTGCAGGCGGCTCCAAAAGACGGGCTTTGAGGTGTTTTTCATTGAGCGAGTCTTTAGCATGTGTGGCCTTACATGGATCATGTAATAATAGATATACATCGATAATGCTCTTAAGCAAAATAAACATTCAGTACACTCTATATTCCTACAGTACACTCTGACATTCAGTACACTCTATATCCTTCATTCGAGATATATACAAATTCATGCATGTACGTCATTCATGCAATATTAATGCATGTACGTCTTTTTGGTTTCAAAAACTGCGCTTTAAATCTTTTGAAGAGTGCACATGTGCGTTCGTTCTTTATTACGCCGGGGGAACGTAAGAGGAAACCTGCAATTGAATGAAACATCCGGAAATTAAGCAAAGCAATGGAGAACAAAATAATGAAATAGTCTTCAGATACTATGGTTGTTATTTACAGCAATAATCTGACATTAATCCATTCTTGAATAGATTAATTAGTAGACGCTATTACTCCACCACCTTCATGACATCATCAAATATATTGTGGTTTGAATGACATGTGCCACAAAGTTTTCAGGAAAAGGTTGTGACTAGCTAGTTAGTTTCTCCAACGATGTATCGCACTATGGTGGTTAAGCGGCGAGTTATGTCGCTGTTCGGGAAACGCCCTAGCAACCACTCACACTTAATTATTAAAAATTGTAAATACATTTTAGTTGTAATTTTATTAGTTGTCCTCTCTAACATCTAACATCATAATGACAAGATTTGTACAGGCAAGTGCCACTCGCATCAAATCTAGCTAGACAGTGTTGTTATTAATGACTAAGACTAAAACCATTACAAATCGTTTCCATTAATTGAAACAAAGCTGAAATCAGTGCTAGGGAAAGTTACGTTTAGAATGTGTTACGATATGTTACTCCCTAAAAAGTAACTAAACATTACTTGGTTACTTTTTATGAAAAGTATGGTAGTGTTTCTTTTGTGTCACTTTGTCTCTGCTGGGCTGGGCTTGCTTGATTTGTTTTTAATAAAGAAGTTTATTATTAAGCTACTTTGGGGCAAAAGTGGAATGAATAAGCCTCAGGCTGAATGAAATGTAGATTCATGCATGTACAGTAGAGGGCGCATCTCTAACAAACCTGTCCGCTGTGCTGCCTTTCTGGACCACCGATGAATAGGATGCAGAGGAAGAAAGTTCAACACTTTTACTTTAGCAATAAAAACAACTAAATGAAACACAAATGTGATGTTTATCTAAAGTCATTTTAGCTTATTCGTATGGTTGAATTGAGTCATTAAAGGTCAGCAGCAAAGATGTTAGTTAATAAAGTGAGATTAAATGCATAAAGTACATTTGTATTATTTAACATATTTAATTATTGCAGGTTTGTGTAATATTCTGAATTTGCATTTAACCGTTTTTATTCATTGAGGAATACTGAATCTAAATATTGAAAACATTGAAATAATGAATTTTGAACTCCCCATTTCTCTCAACATGGGAAAACACAGTAACTTGCGTTACTTATTGGAAAAAGTAACACTGATATTTTGTTGTAAATTTAATAATGTTACTTTACTAGGTACTGGAAAAAGTAATCTGATTGTGTAACTTATGTTACTTTAAATGCTTTAGCCTTAACTGAAATGATGCCTGAAATGAATTAAAATTAGATGAAAAAACTACCTGAAATAAAATAAGTTGAAGTGCTAAACTTACTAAAACTAATACTGAAATTAAGTTCAATATAAATATTTAAAACCAAAACCAATAAAAATGACAAAAAGCACAAAAAAGTACAAATATATTAAAAGGCTGATTTACAATATACCATAATTGTACTAAAATATCACTGGCTAGATGTAGTTTCTGTTTTTTTTCTAAGTGTAAGTGGATTTGCCTTGGCAAAGGCCTTTTTTAAAAATGCAGGATATTTCTTGTGTGTGTGTGTGTTTGGTAGAGGCTGGAACAGGATCATCGTGGAGAAGCCGTTTGGCCATGACTTGCAGAGCTCAGAGGAGTTATCCAGTCATCTCTTTTCTCTCTTCACTGAGGAACAGATTTACCGGATAGACCATTACCTAGGCAAAGAGATGGTCCAGAACCTCATGGTCCTCAGGTCTGTCTGCTTATTCTCTTCTTTATCCCTCTCTGCCTTCTGCTTTTCACTGGCTGTCACACACAGTTGTCATTTATGAATAATTAAGGGTTAAACTCCATTGGGTAGCTCTTCCTCTGTATCTGTCTCTTGTTAGTCATAGGTTTCTCTCCTGTTTTCTTAAAGGTTTGGAAACCGGATATTTGGCCCCATATGGAACCGGGACAGTGTGGCATGTGTGGTTCTGACCTTCAAAGAGCCGTTTGGTACCCAGGGCCGGGGAGGATATTTCGACGATTTTGGTATCATTCGGTTAGTTAAGTTTCCTTGCTTTGAGAAGATTTTGCACCTGTGATATTTTATAGATTTTAAAACTTATAAAAGGATAGTCTACCAAAGATTAATTCCACCATCATTTAACCTGATTTAGTTTCTCTCTAGGGAACACAAAAAGATTTAAAAAAATATATATATTCTTGCTGGTGTACGCCATAAAAGTAGTCCGTAAAAAGAAACAGATAAAATGCACATTATTTCAAAGACAAATATATATATATATATAAAAAAGCGTTTCTGTGCATGAGGATTCCCTTCAAAGGCTGAGTGGATTTTGATATTCTAATGTATTCCTCTCTTTTCTGTCTCCAGCGATGTGATGCAGAACCACCTGCTGCAGATGCTCTCTCTGGTTGCCATGGAGAAGCCCGCATCCACCAGCTCTGATGATGTTAGGGACGAGAAGGTAACGGGCCGTTCAGCCAATCAGCTGTGTGTGTGCATCACTCTTATGCCACTTATCTGAATGATCCTGAAATAGCCTTGAGGATCAAATAAATCACATTCATCCATCCATCACCACTGTCTTGTAGTTAACCATTAGCATAAAAGGTTGGTGGACTGAAGCAAGCATAAATTAAGGTCCTGGCTCTAAGATTGTTTCTGGATGATGTTTATTTTTGGTTTATAATTTAATAGATTTTTTACAGATGTGCATTTCTGCTAATTATGTGCAATACCAAATGTTTTTTTTGCTTTGCAATGCTTTTTGTTTCGTTTCAGTTTTGTTATTTTTTTGTGGTTTTGTTTTGCTGTTTTGTTTCGTTTCATTTTTGTTTGTTTTATTTTGTTTTTGGGTTTTGTTTTGCTTTGCAATATTATTATTATTATTTAATTTTTTTGGTTTGCTTTGCAATGCTTTTTTTTTTTTTGAGGACTTTTAACAGTGTGATTAGTTTTTCTCTGTCTGCTGCAGAGAGTTGTGATTTATAGTTTGTGTGTTCAGTCAACATGGCATGAAGAAATTAGTGTTCATGAAGCATCCAACTGATCTGCTATTGCTAAGATAAATGGGAATGATCTCTGATGTCTCTTTCTCTAGTGTATTGTAGATTTCTGCCTGCCTGTTTTCTAATGCTCTGTGTGTCCCCCTACAGGTGAAGGTGTTGAAGTGCATTGAAGCAGTCTCTCTGTCAGACGTGGTCTTGGGTCAGTACGTGGGAGATCCAGATGGAGAAGGAGAGGCTAAACTGGGTTATCTAGATGACACAACTGTCCCTAAAGGCTCCACTCAAGCTACATTTGCCACTGCAGTGCTTTATGTAAAGAATGAACGCTGGGATGGTAAGTGATACACACTGTGTGTATCTAATCATTACATGTGTGTTAGTAAAGCTCAGAGTATGCACTCAACTAGCAAAGTAACTAGAGTAACTAGCAAATGTTTACAATCTGGCCAAAGACCTAAAATGTTGACCTTTCTGAGACCATTCATTTTGTCCTGTGCCTCTTTCTGGAAGTAAGAGCATTTGTGCTGAATTAAATGAGTACATTTGAAGCTGTACTAACATTGGTCTTGAAATCAAATTTTTTTTTTGGCTTAAAAATACAAAATTAACTTTAAACGTTTGAAAAGTAGTATATCTGTTTCAAGTTGGTAAAACAAAAATAAATGTTTTTGAAAGAAGTGTCATGCTCACCAAGGCTGCATTTATTTAATCAAAACTACAATAGAAACAGTATTGTTGTGAAATATTATTACAATTTAACATAACTGTTTTCTAGTTGAATATATTTTATAATGTAATTTATTCCTGTGATCAAAGCTGAATTTTCAGCATCATTACTCCAGACTTCAGTGTCACATGATGATTTGCTCCAGGATTTCCTCTGGATTTTTCAGGATATTTTTGGATGAATCCAAAGTTCAAGAGAACAGCATTTATTTGAACTTAGATTTTCTTTTATTGATTTTCTTCCTGAATGTGTTGATATTTCATTAAGTTCTCTCTCTCTCCAGGGGTTCCCTTCATCCTCAGGTGTGGAAAGGCTCTGAATGAGAGGAAGGCCGAGGTGAGGCTGCAGTTCACCGACGTTCCTGGAGACATCTTTGAGACTCAGTGCAGGCGGAACGAGTTGGTGGTCCGTGTGCAGCCCAACGAGGCCATCTACGCCAAGATGATGAGCAAGAAACCTGGAGTCTACTTCAGTCCGGAGGAGACGGAGCTGGACCTGACCTACCACAGCAGATACAGGGTAAAACGGACACCTTTGAGACATCCATACACAGCTTTTGTCCTATTGGGCAACTTTGGCCATCAAATGCAGAAAATTGGTTAATTTCTTTTAAAACAAAAAACAAGCAATCTTTATTAAAGTTACTTCTCTTTATAAATGTACCTTTCTCTTATTCTCTTTACAAAGGATGTTAAGCTGCCTGATGCTTATGAGCGTCTGATTTTGGATGTCTTTTGTGGCAGTCAGATGCATTTTGTACGCAGGTGAGTTTGTTACTAGCTACTGTGTTTACATGCACACAAATAAAAGGTTATCAGTTGGATTGATGACTCAGTCGGTCTGAAAAGCCTTCACATAAACAACACCTCAATCGATCCGAATGAATGTGCTGAATTTTACCCGTGTACACAACGCAGCTGCGTTTATTAGAACGCCAATGAGTTTGCAGGAATTAAATAAACACTATGAAGTAAATATTGTCATAATTCATCAACAGAATATCAATAAGAAATCGTTTGGTATAAATGTGTGGCATTCATTGATCGTGAACTGCTTGAACCACAAGCCTGGAGAACGTTTTTACTTTGAAACATGCAGCGCTCGCAATTAAATATCACCTTTTCAAGTTTAATTATCACATTAGGCCGTATTGTGATTCCTGTTTTTCTGTCCCCAAATTTAAGACCTAGAAATGATAATTAAGACTTTTCTTGTACATCATATCATTATCATAGTGGGCTCCAAAAATATTGGCACCCTTGATAAATATGAGCAAAACAGACTGTGGACATTTGTTTTTGCACTTAGTCTTTCATTCACAACATTCATAAAATTATACACAATATTTCATCCAGATAGTGGATCAAAAAGAAGTTAATATGAAATCTAAAAACATAAACAATTAGGACAATTTTGACTCATTTATTTCTTAAAAATGGGTTAAAGGCTGAGATGTGAGGTTTATAATTTTATTTATTTTTTTGTTTTTCTCCAAACCTGTATTATCCAAACCATAAAATAATTGAAAAACTTTACAGTTCATATGTATCTTTCTCTTTCCTGCTAGCCTGGGAAAACCCAGACAACTTCCGGCAAATTTAGATTTGCTCTGAAAGTTAGTCTGGCAAAGAGCTCATTCAAGCCCATTTCCAATCCGTCGAAATCGCGGCACCAATCAGAAACGTTGGGGCGGGCTTTACACGATGACGAAAGCGCTGGGATTTTGAAGCAGATTTTGTAGCCTACATTACAGAGATGGATGCCGCCGTCGAACATCACTCGTTCGAATCAGCTATCGCGTCTGTTTTAAGCGGTTTGAACATTTCCTTTTAGTTAAAAACCGAGCAAAGAACAACACTTGGAGATGTGTCTCCGCCGCTCTGCATACGTCATCTCCTTCATCGCTCTGATTGGGTTTAGGTCTATCCGCGACGTCCGTTGGTGACGCCCCACTGGAAATGATTTGTCTATGACGCTTTGCCAGATCATAACTCAGTTACAACTGAGAATGGTCTGGTTTTAACCAGGCTACTTTCCTGCTTATATGGTATTCATTTTTATTTGTGCAGGTCTTTAAAAAAAAGGTTAAAATTGATAAACTGTTTGTTTGGAATACATGTAATGCACATGTAAACAAATATGTGACACACTAATGTAAATTTGATTAAAGAACATAAAGAACCGTGTCTGAATTTGACTTATTTTATTAAAGTGACGAGTTGAGGGAAGCCTGGAGAATCTTCACTCCTCTTCTTCATCAGATCGAGACAGAGAAGACGCCACCCATCAAATACAAATACGGGAGGTAAAACGCTTATTTTTCTGAAAGTGATTGTTGACGAAGTGACATGACGTGTAACGCGTCTCATATTCTCTCTCTCTTTCATATAGCCGTGGTCCTGCAGAGGCTGACGATCTGGTGCAGAAGGTGGGCTTTCGCTATGAGGGTACATACAGATGGGTGAACCCACACAAACTGTGAAAGAAGAGGACGACAGAGATGAGTGGAGCTAAAGCCTGTTTAAAAACATCAGCCCAAGATGAGTGCCTGAAATAAAAGGCACTTAAAAAAAAGTATTTGAAGATGCACTCTAAGCACTCATTTCAAGAAGGACCAACAAGATTACAAACACAATTTTCTTTGGATGTTATGAAGTATAACCTGCTCATTATGATATACAATGCTTTATATGACGTTCCTTATATTATTTCTTTCTATATTTCAGTGGACTTAACATTTTGTTATGCAGTTAATCAGCATTCTGATATTCATGCCGATTCCATACCGTCTGTGTTCAGATGCTTTTATTCCTTAAGAAAGAAAAAGCTTATGTTATGCATTCCTCTTTTCACAAGCAAGTCTTACCATTAAATGCTGCTCACATTTTTTTAAAGTGTTCATAGGCAGAGGCATGGTGTAAAAGTACAATCTACTCCTGCACTGATAGTTGTCTTCATGCATTTTGTCGTGACTTTGGTTGCAATCTTATATTTAAATGGTATAATTGGACCACACAAAAGAAAAGTTGCAGAAACGTACAGGGATTAGGAATGTATGGGTAATGTTGTCTTTGTTACTACATGAATGTATATGACATTTCACCATGTCTTAAGGCTCCCACTGATTGGCTAAAAGAGCCATGATTATGTTTAGTCTTATTAAAGCAAATGTATTGGTAAAATGGTATTACATGCCACATCCCTCTGTTAATACTTTAATAGATGAGCTTTGATGTTCATTGTTACATCGCTCTAAAGTCGCATGGGCATGGTCTCTTTCTGCTCGTTATCATTTTTGGTTTCTGCACTAGTTAGACATTGAACCAGTGTCAAAAAACAACTTTGTTAGCCTGCATAATGTATTGAGGGTACGTTTTTGACAGCACTGAATTTCAACATCATGTTAGTGTGGCTAAAACAACTTTAGAAAACTCTTTGTTTGGTGATGCTTGAACATCTGTGAGCTATTTAACTTTTCTGTAAAAGTTCTGCCATATGTTTTCTATTTTATTATAATAGACAGCTACTTTTACAATAAAGCATAGCTAAGATGCCTCGCATGCGTCTCATTGCTTCCTCTTTTTCCATCTAGTCTTTTAAGTTCATATTCTCTTTGTTTTGGCCAGTTTTGAAAAAGATATTGAGTGAGAGGCCTGTCTGTTTTCCATGGTCATAACATTGGAATATTACAAAATTTTACTATTGTGGAGTCCAGACCTGGACAAGGAAAGGGATTTTAGTAATGACGGTTCAGAAAGCAGAATCCTCTTTTCAAATGTCTGTTTTTTTTGTCTTTATGGAAACTTTTGTACACAAATAAGTACATTTGTTTTTATGTTATGTCATACACAAATCCCACACAGCAAAAAAACATACACAGTAAACATGAATGACTGGAAATGTAGAGGAAATTAATTTATCAAAAATTAGTATGGGCTTTGAAATCCATCAGGGTGTAACGCATGGACTTTTGCTCAAAAAGTGCTGTACTCTGATTTTATTCATAAATAGGATTATAAATATAAATAATTGGTTAACAACAAATAAACCAGCATATAAATATTCGGTTAGACTTTATTTTAAGGTGTCATTGTTACCGTGTAATTATATATTTAAGTATTGAGTAATATTGGTTGAGGTTAGGTGCATGTTTTTTTTTGTGTATAATTTACTGTTATTACTATGGTAAGTACATGTAACATATGTAAGAAGGACACTGTAAAATAAAGTGTTACCAAATTTACTTCCACAAATGCGTTCTTTCTTTCTCTATAAACCTTGGTTTCGTGTAACTTAATTTCCAATGGGTTTGAACTTTTTTTTAAAGGACTTTTATCATAGTTATCACCGGAAGGACTTTGCTCTCCGAACATCCGTCTTCCGGTCATGGGCAACATGGTTGTAGAGGTGTAACTGTGTCCATCTGCCTGTTTATTCGCTTCTGTTGAAGAGCGTTTGTGTCAATTTGACAGCTCTAATTATATCAAGTAATACATATTATCAAGCAGCCCAGCGGTCAAAATGAATATACGCAACGCACGGGTGAGTAAATGAAAGGAGAAGCAGACATTAGTTCAGTCATCAGACAGTAGCTCAGCTGTGTCTCAAACCCCGTTTTGGGCGACATAGCACAAGCACAACGAGGCATCAAGTGCAGATATTCAGTGTTAGTTGCTTGTCTTTTTATTTTATCCACCTTTTGTGTTCATTCGGTTTTATTGTGATGCACATTGCATGCACACTCTTTGCTACTTTTAAAGGGGCCGCGTTCTGTACTTCTGTTTCATTTCTATTCCATGAGCTCCTGCACCAAAAACAGACATAATTTAGTTATTTATGACTTCTTCCCAGCCTCTCTCTGAATATTACAATTAATCGTGCAGTTTTTTTTTTTTTGCTAATTTACTTTGTGTAAATGATTCAGTACAATTGCAGGATACAATAGTGAATAGCTTGACTGATTGATTTTCTCTTTTACATGTTTCCAGCCAGAGGATTTGATGAACATGCAGCACTGCAACCTGCTGTGTCTTCCAGAGAACTATCAGATGAAGTACTACTTCTACCACGGCCTGTCCTGGCCACAGGTCTGTGACTGGCACTGATTTTCACCTCTGGCTTCTGGATTGTAATCTTTGAAACATGCCTTTCTGTTAAGCTTCTTCGATATGTTTTGTTAATCACGCTAAACAAATAAATGTGAGTTGAATCATCTTACGGTGAACTGCTGTGCTTGTTTTCCAGCTATCATACATAGCAGAGGATGAGAACGGGAAGATAGTTGGATATGTTTTGGCAAAAATGTAAGTGTTGATTTTCTTGTTGTTAAATGTTGAAAGGGCGGAAGTGTGAGATGTTGCATATGTCCGTAAATAATTATAATGTAATAAAAATAATTATAATGAAATAAAACATTCTGTCCCACTTTATATTAAGTGTCTTTAAAGGATTAATTTAGCCAAAAATGAAAATGATCTCATAATTGACTCACCCTCAAGCCATCCTACGTGTGTATGACATTCTTCAGCCGAACATAATCCGAGTTATGTTAAAAAATATCCTGGCTCTTCCAAGCTTTATAATAGAAGTAACTGAGATTTCACTGAGATCCCTCCATCATAAAAGTAATCCATAATAATATATGGATTATCCATATTTATCCAATATCCATATTTATAACTTTATAAACTATAATCTCTGGCTTCTGGTTACAGCCGTACGTGAGTCTAGTTCCGGTGGAAGAGTGACCTCTGACCCGATGCAGGAGTAGCCTAAGCGTAGATACCTCTCACGGTTCAAATAGACCTATTTAGTGTTTGCTAACAGTGATGACGTTTTTTTGTGGGCGGAGCCTACCTGGTGGCAGAAAATGCCACTTCTGCAGTAGCAATCTGTGAAAGCCATGGAATAAAAGGATAAAAAAAAGTTAATTTCGAGTTTGTATCTCACAGTTCTGTCTTATTTTTCCCCCTCAGAATTGCGAGTTTATATCCCGCAATTCTGACTTTTTCCCCTCAGAATTGTTATTGAGTTATAAAGTCCGAACTGGGATATATAAAAACGCAAATGCATGAAAAAGTCAAGAATTGTGAGATAAAAATGTTATAGGCTATGTTTAAAAGTTATGTAAAATGTAATGGGTTTAAATATTATTTCATGCTGTAACTGCTATGTATGTATGTCCCCTATGAACTGCATATGTGAATATTACGTAGACTTACTGTGTGCATCAAATAGTATGCTTTAAAAGTAGACTAATCATTGCAGGTTTCATCAGTCCAGTCTGTGACTTGCAACATAAACGTCTGCGTTTCGCTTCAAAGGGTTTCTATAAAAATGAAGACCGTATTTTTTGCATTCTGATTCCAATTTTTCTCTTATTCTGTGGATTTTGCCCGTTGTTGTTGTTGTTGTTGTTGTTACCGCTATATTTCTGCCACCACTATGCGCGCGCAGCTTCAAGTGACATAACTGTGACGTCTACTCCAAATTGGTCTATGGGGCTGGGAAAGAAACTTACGCTCCTCCCACATTTCTCTTTAAAAATTCTCGTTTTAGAATTTAGATGCAAGAGAGGTGTTTTGTTTTGCTCTATCCTCCACCGAGTTTGTCAAAATCCCATGCGTCGGGTCAGAGGTCACTCTTGCGCCGGAACCAGACTCGCGTATGGACGTTATTACTCCGTACGGAAGCCGGTGATTATACACTCACCTAAAGGATTATTAGGAACACCTGTTCAATTTCTCATTAATGCAATTATCTAATCAACCAATCACATGGCAGTTGCTTCAATGCATTTAGGGGTGTGGTCCTGGTCAAGACAATCTCCTGAACTCCAAACTGAATGTCAGAATGGGAAAGAAAGGTGATTTAAGCAATTTTGAGCGTGGCATGGTTGTTGGTGCGAGACGGGCCGGTCTGAGTATTTCACAATCTGCTCAGTTACTGGGATTTTCACGCACAACCATTTCTAGGGTTTACAAAGAATGGTGTGAAAAGGGAAAAACATCCAGTATGCGGCAGTCCTGTGGGCGAAAATGCCTTGTTGATGCTAGAGGTCAGAGGAGAATGGGCCGACTGATTCAAGCTGATAGAAGAACAACTTTGACTGAAATAACCACTCGTTACAACCGAGGTATGCAGCAAAGCATTTGTGAAGCCACAACACGCACAACCTTGAGGCGGATGGGCTACAACAGCAGAAGACCCCACCGGGTACCACTCATCTCCACTACAAATAGGAAAAAGAGGCTACAATTTGCAAGAGCTCACCAAAATTGGACAGTTGAAGACTGGAAAAATTTTGCCTGGTCTGATGAGTCTCGATTTCTGTTGAGACATTCAGATGTTAGAGTCAGAATTTGGCGTAAACAGAATGAGAACATGGATCCATCATGCCTTGTTACCACTGTGCAGGCTGGTGGTGGTGGTGTAATGGTGTGGGGGATGTTTTCTTGGCACACTTTAGGCCCCTTAGTGCCAATTGGGCATCGTTTAAATGCCACGGCCTACCTGAGCATTGTTTCTGACCATGTCCATCCCTTAATGGCCACCATGTACCCATCCTCTGATGGCTACTTCCAGCAGGATAATGCACCATGTCACAAAGCTCGAATCATTTCAAATTGGTTTCTTGAACATGACAATGAGTTCACTGTACTAAAATGGCCCCCACAGTCACCAGATCTCAACCCAATAGAGCATCTTTGGGATGTGGTGGAATGGGAGCTTCGTGCCCTGGATGTGCATCCCACAAATCTCCATCAACTGCAAGATGCTATCCTATCAATATGGGCCAACATTTCTAAAGAATGCTTTCAGCACCTTGTTGAATCAATGCCACGTAGAATTAAGACACTTCTGAAGGCAAAAGGGGGTCAAACACAGTATTAGTATGGTGTTCCTAATAAACCTTTAGGTGAGTGTAGTTTATAGTTATAAATATGGATTTTTTTTATTTATTTTTTTAAAAAGCTTCACTTCAGAAGGCATTTATTAATCCACTGGAGCAGTATGGATTACTTTTATGATGGAGGGCATGTGCTTTTTTGGGGGTTTCAAAATTGAAGGCACCATTCACTGCCATTATAAAGCTTGGAAGAGGCTGGATATTATTTAATATGACTCCGATTGTGTTCGTTTGAAAGAACATAGTCTTTTACACCTAGGACGGCTTGAGGGTGAGTAAATTATGGGATTTTTATTTTTGGGTGAATTAACCCTACTATGGTCACACATTTAAATTGATCATTTGATACAATGCACTTATTGTGTACACGTTTTTACGTTGTAATTACAGAAATTAATTACATGCAGGTGAAAATATAAGTACATCTATAATTACACTGTTGACCCTTTCTCACCGTTAAACCAACCCATACTACCAAACCTGTCCTAACCTCACCTGTATCCCACCTCAATAGCAGCACAAGCGTTTTGCAATAGATCAGCACAATAAGTACATTGTACCTTGTAAGTACATAGTAGTCAAAGACATCTAATATAAATTGTGACCAAACATTTTAATGATATAAGATAAGTATTATTTTATGTTAACTATGTGTCTTAAATTCCAAAGGGAGGAGGATCCTGATGATGTGCCTCATGGACACATTACATCACTGGTTAGTGTTTGAAAACATTGGCTGTTATTTTGTATCATCTGTACTGATATTGTCTTTCATTCTGTCTGCATGTGTATAAATAAACGCACTGCTGTGTGTGTTAATACAGGCCGTTAAACGCTCTCACAGGCGTCTTGGACTGGCTCAAAAACTGATGGATCAAGCCAGCAGAGCCATGATTGAGAACTTTAATGCCAAATATGTCTCTTTGCATGTCAGGAAGAGGTAGGATCTACCAGCGCCTTCACTCTCTGACATCTGGGATTTGTGGGAGGGATTTTCCTAACCTTGTTGCTTTTGTTTGTATTTCAGTAACCGGGCCGCTCTTCACTTGTACTCCAACACACTTAAGTTTCAGTGAGTATCACTTATCCCCCCCCCCGCCCCATTTTATTATATTTGTATTATGAATAAATTCTGACTCTCAGTTTATTAAAACTAAATTAATTCAACTTCAACAACATGTCTTGAGACCAGCTTAATTAACTGATAGATTAAATCTACTGTTATATTGAATTAGTGTGTTAAGTAGACGGCGCTAGAATAAACATATTTCCAGGGCAGCCTGAGAAACTAGCTCCGTTTCAGTCATAACACCAGTTATTGTTTGAAAATGAACTAAATTGCAGGCACATCAAAGGTGCAGTAAGCGATTTCTCTGAGAAGCGATTTTTCTGTTGAAAGTGGATCGGACCGAGCGGCACAACACACCTGTAGCCAATCAGCAGTAGGGGGCGTGTCCACTCATGATGGGGGAGGAGAGAGAGTGAGCCAATCAGCAGTAGGGGGCGTGTCCACTTATGATGGGGGAGGAGAGAGAGTGAGCCAATCAGCAGTAGGGGGCGTGTCCACTCATGATGGGGGAGGAAGGAGATTGAGCCAATCAGCAGTAGGGGGCATGTCCACTCATGATGGGGGAGGAGAGAGAGTGAGCCAATCAGCAGTAGGGGGCGTGTCCACTCATGATGGGGGAGGAAGGAGATTGAGCCAATCAGCAGTAGGGGGCATGTCCACTCATGATGGGGGAGGAGAGAGAGTGAGCCAATCAGCAGTAGGGAGTGTGTCCACTCATGAAGGGGGAGGAGAGAGAGTGAGCCAATCAGCAGTAGGGGGGGTGTCCACTCATGATGGGGTAGGAGAGAGAGTGAGCCAATCAGCAGTAGGGAGTGTGTCCACTCATGAAGGGGGAGGAGAGAGAGTGAGCCAATCAGCAGTAGGGAGCGTGTCCACTCATGATGGGGGAGGAGAGAGAGTGAGCAAATCAGTAGTAGGGGGCGTGTCCACTCATAATGGGGTAGGAGAGGGATTGAGCCAATCAGCAGTAGGGGGCGTGTCCACTCATGATGGGGGAGGAGAGAGTGAGCCAATCAGCAGTAGGGAGTGTGTCCACTCATGATAGGGGAGGAGAGAGATTGAGCCAATCAGCAGTAGGGAGTGTGTCCACTCATGATGGGGGAGGAGAGAGAGTGAGCCAATCAGCAGTAGGGGGCGTGTCCACTCGTGATGGGGGAGGAGAGAGATTGAGCCAATCAGCAGTAGGGGGCGTGTCCACTCATGATGGGGGAGGAGAGAGTGAGCCAATCAGCAGTAGGGAGTGTGTCCACTCATGAAGGGGGAGGAGATAGAGTGAGCCAATCAGCAGTAGGGAGTGTGTCCACTCATGAAGGGGGAGGAGATAGAGTGAGCCAATCAGCAGTAGGGGGCGTGTCCACTCATGATGGGGGATGAGAGAGATTGAGCCAATCAGCAGTAGGGGGCGTGTCCACTCTTGATGGGGGAGGAGAGAGAGTGAGCCAATCAGCAGTAGGGGGCGTGTCCACTCATGATGGGGGAGGAGAGAGATTGAGCCAATCAGCAGTAGGGAGTGTGTCCACTCATGAAGGGGGAGGAGATAGAGTGAGCCAATCAGCAGTAGGGGGCGTGTCCACTCATGATGGGGGATGAGAGAGATTGAGCCAATCAGCAGTAGGGAGTGTGTCCACTCATGATGGGGGAGGAGAGAGAGTGAGCCAATCAGCAGTAGGGGGTGTGTCCACTCATGATGGGGGAGGAGAGAGAGTGAGCCAATCAGCAGTAGGGGGTGTGTCCACTCATGATGGGGGAGGAGAGAGATTGAGCCAATCAGCAGTAGGGGGTGTGTCCACTCATGATGGGGGAGGAGAGAGATTGAGCCAATCAGTAGTAGGGAGTGTGTCCACTCATGAAGGGGGAGGAGATAGAGTGAGCCAATCAGCAGTAGGGGGCGTGTCTACTCATGAAGGGGGAGGAGAGAGAGCGAGCAAGAGGAAGATTTGGAGAAAGACTGTAGAAAGAGAGATGGATGAGAGACATTACAAAAGAGAAATCTCAAGAGGAATACCACTGGAAAAGGAGGTTTATGATCAGGCAAGAGCTTCAGGACCTGCTTTAATATTAGAATAGCTTTCCAGTGCAAGAGAGACCGAAGCGGGAAGGCCTGAAAACAGAGGTTTCTGCTCCATTGGCGAGTAACATTGGTTTTGAGTCCGTTCAACAGAACCAAGATATGCTGTTGTTGTAATGTTAGCTCTAGTAACAGGAGCTAATGGCGATTGACAACAAACTCTTACTTATATTTACTCTTGTGTACTGTATGGTTATTTTTTGTTTGTCCTTGTCGTTCGTTCGTCATCTTCGTTTTATTTTTCATGAAGCATTATTTTGCTTCGCTTCAGCTATGATAAAGAGACATCCACTCTTGCATTGTGTTCATGCGTTTTGGTGGTGGAGCAAAAAAGGTAGGGTGTGTTTGTTTGGTTTGATTTCAAATAGCAACAGTGTTTCTCTGAAATCATTTACTGCACCTTTAAGTGCATTTTTTTCAGGATATGTACTGATACTGCGTTGTATCATAGTAATGCAAAATGTTTTCATCCCTGTTCATACTGTGTTGCAGGATTAGTGAAGTAGAGCCCAAATATTATGCCGATGGAGAAGATGCTTATGCCATGAAGAGGAATCTCACACAGATGGCAGATGAGGTATGTGGCGGTGCAGTTATACATAATTATGTGATGCCAAATACAGCTTCATAATGTTTTTTTCCCCTCAATTTAAATTTCCCAAATTGTAACCTGACCCTACACCCACTGAACATATGTGGAAGAATAACACGGGCACATTTTCACTTTAAATCTTCTGGAAACGGCCCACACATACTCCATTTCCCTCCACCTGGATTTTTCCAACTGTTTGATTAGGACTGTAACGTTAGTCATGGCTGCTGTATCTTTGCTGAACTCAGATGGGGGCTCCTTTCTACTCAGTCATTTGAAGTGGTTTTTGAATGCCTATTCAAAAACATATATTTTTATCTCTGATAGCTAATTACTGTAAGTTGCTCAATTATTGTAGGTGGGAAATGGACTAAAATGCAGTTGATGAAATTACACGCCTACATTTGGTCATTGCGATTGAGTCGCACCTTCCACAGATTTTAAATTGAAAATTATACAGGGTTAAATTGGGTTCACCTTCAAAAAGTAAAAAGCTAATGGTAGTTTCACTCTCTTAAAAACACATTTAACACATTACATTTACCAGTACGCCTTCCTATAATCAGTGGCTGACCCTGGTAGAGACATGTTTACTTGTATAAAAAAAGTTTTTGACTTGGCCCCCGCTATGGTAAACACCAACTCTTCCTGTTGTGCAGTTGCAGAAACCAGGTGTTCGCCTGTGGGGCTCAGAGGCTCCGGCATCTCAGGACACATCTGTGACCGGCCTGGTGGAGAAGCTGACGGTGCAGGATGGAGATGGAGACAGCGGAGGAGAGAGTAAAGAAATGAGTGAGGTCAGCGAGGCCACGGAGAGCACAGACGTCAAAGACTCCTCATCAGACTCTTAACTCACATCTCAGTCTGTTCACACCCATCTTATAGGTTTCAAATCGGTTTACAGTGTTTATAAGCTCTGATGGTTTTATTTTCACAATACAGGAAAGTGACCTTGTAAAAGTGGTTCACAATGTTGAAATTACTTGAGATTTGTCAATAAAATTGGAGAGTAAACATCATATGTGGTGGTGTCATTATCCTGGCAAATTTTATTTTTTGATTGATGTAAAAGTTATGGCTTCTAAGAATAGTTCATTAGTTCATTCAAAGTAAGAAAGTCCCTTTTTACCTCTGTAATCTGAGGAGCAAGTCAAAACAGGATGTTATCCCAGCCATGAACTATGAGTTGTTGCTTGTTGGTTGGTTGTAAATGATAGGACAACAAAATCAATTTACAGGAGACCAGTTTCAACTAAAAACGGAAATCTTTTTATGCGTTTTGGCCGTTCATTTACACGATAACGGTGTTTTGGGGGCTTGAAAACACAAACTTTCAAAAAACACAATTCAAAGTGCAAGTTTTTGAAATACTCAAAATGCTAAACATTTCTGTGTACCGGTAAACTACAAAAATGCTAAATTTGTGAAAACGGTGATGCCATGCGCATGTGTAATCACGTGTTCAGTCAATAAGCAAAGCAAGTACCCAGATAGCACAAGTCTATTTGATGTGATATTTACTTCTGGAAGACGTATATGAGTGTTTGCTCATCTGCAAGACGTCTATAGGACGTTTCCTGTCAGATGTCAAATAGACGTTTAGAAGATGTCTTTAAGATGTAATGATTTAGAATGCATGTTAAACTGACATCTTCTAAACGTCTATTTGACATCTGACAGGAAACGTCCTATAGACGTCTTGCAGATGAGCAAACACTCTTAAAAATACGTCTTCCAGATGTAAATATCACATCAAATAGACTTGTGCTATCTGGGTAGTGTTTCTTTACAGTGGCATCGATTCGACAACCACTGGTCTGCCATTAATAATAGAGTGTTTAATTTTCGTTGACAACTTTGGCGTCTGTATGAAAAAAAAAAAAAAAAAAAAATGTTGTGGCGCCTTTTTAAGATTCCTGTCTAACACACGTGAAGAGAGTTTGCTCGCTATGCCGCGCTGGTTTTGATGAACTTCTGGTTTGCCGTCAACTGCTCCATTCTTCAATAACGACCTCTTTGCAAAGCTCATTACATTGCGACATATTTATTAAAACAATCCTCAATCAAATGTGTCGCTATCAAATCATACTGACGTCACATAACCAGGGTCCTTGTTAAAAACGAACGGCCTAGTTTTTGGGATCCTCCAGAAGGATGTAGCCTACGAGCGACAGACGAGAGGCTTTCACCCACAGCCGGAGACGGCACAAGGTTTGGCATACTTTTTTCTCATTTTACGCATTGTGGTGTTTGTGAATATTGGCATAGAACTTACCCCACTTCATCCTGTGACTGGGGCCGCCCAAGTTATTGAATACTAAATACAGGCCTTGATGTAAAACCGTGGGATCACTATATGGTCTAGTGGGTGGTTGAATTATTTACTGACAGATACATTTTTTCTATCAAACTAACATCTTGTTCATGTCTAATTTACCTAAATATATATTTAAATAGGATGAGACTTGGCCTGTGTGGTCCACCAGAGGGCAGCAATGTAATAATTTTGCCAAAATTCCACTTTCAGAATTAGAATCAGAAAGAGCTTTATTGCAAAATGTTTAGTTTACATACACAAGGGATTTGTCTTGGTGACACAAGCTTACAGTGCTGAAGGAAAGTACAGACATAGTGCAGATATACATAGTTCTACAATAAAAATTAAACATAACACAATATTATAAAGAAAACAAAATGTAAATAATGGAATGTAGTACAGTAAAAGAAACAAAGAATATAGCCTATTTGTTTTGTACAAATGGACATTTATGATAGACAATGTGTAGTTATGAGGGTTTTAACTGTTCGGACCGACTATAGCCTGAGGGGGAAAACTGTTCTTGTGCTTCTGCCTTGTAGCGCCAGCCAGAGGACACAAGTTTAAAGAGAGAGTGGGCTGGGCGTGTGGGGTCCAAAGTGATTAGCCCTTTTCCTCACTCTGGAAGAGTACTGGTCCTGGAGGGTGGGCAGCGAGGCACCAATAATCCTCTCAACCGTCCTGACTGTCCGTTGTAGTCTCCTGATGTCTGATTTGGCGGCTGAACCACAACAGACAGTTATAGATGAGCACAGGACAGACTCATTGACGGCTGAGTAGAATGGTGTCAGTGGCTCAGCTGGTGAAGGAAGTTCAACCTCTGCTGGGCCTTTTTCACAATGGAGTCAATGTGAGTGTCCCACTTCAGGTCCTGAGAGATGGTGTTGGCCAGGAACCTGAATGACTCCACTGCTGCCTCAGTGCTGCTCATGAGGGTGAGTGGGGATAATGCTGGGGTGTTTCTCCTCAAGTCCACGAACATCTCCACTGTTTTGAGTGTGTTCAGCTCCAGGTTGTTATGACTGCACCAGACAGCCAGTTGTTCAACCTCTTGTCTGTATGCAGACTCTTTACCATCCTGGATAATGCCGATGACTGTGAAGCTTGACTGAGGGATCTTTAGAGGTGCAGTCATTTGTGTTCAGTGAGAAGAGCAGTGGGGAGAGGACGCAACCCTGAGGAGCACCAGTGCTGATAGTGGAAGTTTTCCCAGTCTCACTCACTATCTGCTGCCTATCTGTCAGAAAGCTGGTGATCCACTGACAGATTGGGATTGGCATGAAAAGCTGGGTCAGATTTTATGATAGAAGATCTAGTCTGATGGCATTGAAAGCCAAACTAAAGTCCACAAATAAAATCCTTGCGTAAGTCCCAGATCTTTTAAGATGTTGCAGGATATAATGCAGTCCCATGTTGCCTGCTTCATCCACTGACCTGTTTGCTCTGCAGGCAAACTGAAGAGGATCCAGCAAGGGTCCAGTGATGTCCTTCAGGTAGTCCAACACCAGTCTCTTAAATGACGTCATGACCACAGACGTAAGAGCGACAGGTCTATCTATAGTCATTAAGTGATTTCGTTTTTTGTGGTGGACTGGAATGATAGTGGAGCATTTGAAGCAACAGGGAACTTCACACTGCTCCAGTGATCTGTTGAAGATCTGTGTGAACATTGGGGCCAGTTGGTCAGCAGTGCAGACTTTTATGCAGGCAGGTGAAACACCGTCTGCGCCTGGTCTTCTGTTTTTTGAAAACTCGGCTCACGTCCTCCACGCAGACCTTAAAGGCAGGGTAGCTAAGTTTGAGAAACTAGCAGAAAACTGCTGGATTTTAAAAGTATCCAACAGAGAAACTCCCACCCCCTTCCCTCTGGACTCCTTCCAAAGCTACGCCCCCAAAACACATGAACGCGTGATGCCGGCTGCTCAGCTGGAGGACGCGTTTACCAGCGCCGAGCAGAGAGGAGCGCAATGCATGGAGTGACATCACCTTTTTTTGCCTTGTTTGCCTGCGCTGGTACAGGCGGTACTGGGAATTTTGACTGCTCTTTTTCTGCCGTAATTGTGAAACTTCCTAGCTTCCGGCCGGTACGTGCCTCTCCTCTTTCGAAATGAGCGAGTCAACCAGGCGCGCGCATGTGGGCAGCTCCTGTAGCAGCAGGGGTGGTAGCCATGGTTACGAGGGACAGTTGCCCAGCCAATCATTGCATTCGTTCCGAATGGAAAGAGTAGCTGTGTTTATCGCAGATTTTCGCATTTTAGATATGTATTGATATCAGAGTTTCCGCTAGAAAAAAATGGTGCAAAGTGACCGGCAGAGTTTTCGTTTTACGGACATTTTGATGATATGCCGGTCAAATATCGCCTCTTAATTAGTCAAGTTGAGGAAAACTGGAGGCAGGCTATACTTAAAAAATGAAATAATCAGGCCGTATTGAATGCAACATGATTATTAGCCTAACTTTGGATCGATTGCTCCTGTCTGCCTCGCTGCCTGCTGTGTGTTTGTTTGCTTCGAGGTTGGAAGCTCCACCTAAGCCTCGTATTTCTTTCTGTTTTGAGCCATCATTTATCATTTACTATCATTTCTAGTTGTTTATACTACTAAATACAGCTTACCCAACATCTGAGATTAACCTTACATCTCTAGCTTCCGTTATTGTTAACACAGCACGCTAACTCGCTAACGTTAGCCTGTTAACGCGCACCCCGTGCGATTTATTTATTTATTTTCTCTCCCGCGCCCGCGCCTTTGAGTTCATAAGTCCAGGTAAGTAAGAATCAGTCAACAAACACGGTGAGTAATGTCTTGTCCTGTTATTGTCACCTGTGTCACATGTCATATGTTTAGTATAGCCTTCTCCGATGGCAATATAGGATTTATATGTGATAAATGCAAGGAGACAGTCAGGCTGACGGAGAAGATTTCAGAACTAGAGACACGCATCCAAACTTTAATTGAGGATGGTAAGAATGCTAGATCTTTAGATAGTGTTTTGGATGCGCCTAGCATAGTGAACTCTTTACATGATTCGGTTCCGGCTGAAGTAGAGCCTGTGCAGCAGGGCAGATGAGTGACTGTCAGAGATCGTTCTAGTCGCGGATCAAAGAACCACTCTTCCGTTCCGATTCCCATAACTATTTGATGTGTCACACGTGTTTCACTGAGTGGGGCAAATCGATTTGCCCCACTCAGTGAAACACCCACTGAGAATTCTGTTGATTGTGCCCTGGTAATTGGTGATTCGATCACACGGAACGTGAAAATAGAGACACCAGCCACCATAGTCACATGTTTGCCGGGAGCCAGAGCGCCTGACATCAAAGCAAATTTAAAAGTGCTGGCTAATGCTAATCGTAAATTCTCTAAGATCATTATTCATGTCGGCACTAATGATGTTCGACTCCGCCAGTCAGAGATCACCAAAATTAATATTAAAGAGGTGTGTGAACTCGCAAGTATGATGTCAGGCACTGTAATTTGCTCTGGCCCTCTTTCTGTTCGCAGGAGTGATGAGATAGTTAGTAGATTGGCCTCACTGAATCGCTGGCTGTCTGAGTGGTGTCCGCAAAATAATGTAGAATTCATAGACAATTGGAAAAGTTTTTGGGGCAAGCCTGACCTGTTGAAAAGAGATGGTATTCATCCCTCCTGGGCTGGTGCTGCTCTTCTCTCTAGTAATTTGGCTCATAGTCTTAGAGCTAA